ATTAGATCAAGAAAAAACGTAAATAAATATAATAAGAATTATAATAATGACACATTTATTAATGAATTCGATCAAGCGTAGATAAATTACCGTGAATTATTATTTCATTATTACAATAAAGAATAAGAATCTATTCTTTGTTAAATTTTAAAATAGAAAATAAAAGATTCAGGGCTATAATCACTGTATTTTTCTATTTGAAAAAAAGTATATCTTGAGTTGATACGGTTCAATAATGTTCTTGTTCGATATGAATTAGTTTAGATAATTTTTCCTGGGGCTGAGAATTTAGTGTTTATCAGTTGTTGACTAGGTAACCGAAAGGTTAATATGATAAAGTGGGAAACTATTCGTTATGAGATCTTTCAATCCACTATTATATATATACACACAGATTTTTTGGTTAGTACTTCATTACTGGTTTAACCAATGTAAAGAGAATTTATATTTATATAGTTAACATCTTGGACTGATTTTTGTTGAATAAGTATTTAAAACTATGAAGCACTGGACATGGGTTTAGAAATCCTTAGTAGTGAAGATTCCCTCACTAATATCTTCAGTTTCACATGTGAACGCTTAACTTCTATACCACTGAACTAGCATGTAACAGTTCACATGACCTAACTTCAATCAATTAGTAATATCGTTTAACCATCTTTCAATGTGTTTGATGATTAACTGCCTTACATTCGGCATGATTGAACTCCACTGATGGTCACATTATTAAGTATAAGATTAATAAAGACAAATGTAAATATATATGTGGGATTATTGTAAATAAACAGGGTTAAAGAAGAGGCTGAACAAGCATTTTTTTATATGCAAAAGTTTAGGTGGATTCTGACACATTTTTCTGAGGTGAAATTTAGAAGGATATGGAAGTATGGATGGAATTCCACAAATAACCTTGATCTGGTAATCAGTTACAAATAAATGTGAAAGAACAGTGCTTTTTATTGATCACAACTAGTGATATTTAACAATGAGTTAATCAACTTACATAGTCTTAAACCTAAATTGAACTATCACTGCTAAAATAAGGGGATCCGTGTATGCAGTAAGAGAGAGATAAAAATTAACAGCTTATCTTCATTACATTAATTCACTATTGATGGACTGAAAAATGAACAACACATTCTTATTGAGTTGAATGCTCTTTTAAAAACATTGGTTTCAAAATTCTTTTTTAAGATATTCAATATGAAGTAACTGGATATGATTATGGCTGTATACAATGGATATACAATTATCATATAGGATTGAAGTAGACTCACATGTAGATAATGTAACACATTTAACTATTTGTTTTCATAAAAATAAATTAATAAGAATTGTATCTACAAATAAAAAAATATTTTCATTGTTTGAATCACAAGCTAACCTTAGTTAAGTAACTAGTTAGACCAGAAAAATACTGAACGGCCATTTCGATTTCGTATGAAAGTATTCGGTAGTACGCAGCCAAGACCCTGCTAGGGATCGAACTCAAAACCTTTGGTCTCCACAAACCCCCCATACTAGTCAAGATATATTTATTAGAATCATGATGAATAAAGTTAAGTGATTCCGAAGAATGAATCAGACTGTCTAGTAAAACATTGAAGTCTCGCGCGCGAACGCCTAACCTCTAGACCACCGAGTCGGTGTTAGTGTCTAGCCCCAACCAATCTACAAAGCTGTGCGACCATCTTCCATTGTTTTTATAAAGGAGTGGAATTAGTTGAAAAACCAGTTTTAATGCAAAATAATGACGAGTTTAACAGGATTTGCACAGTAGACTACAAAGTTATTTATTCGAAGCTTTACTAGTGAATTGTTCAAAGATTCCTCGTATTCATCAAGTTAGCGACTAAAATCTTCATGCATATTAATAATAGTAATAATTCTTCAGCATTTATTTCCTTCATTGTACTTGTCGATAAAACATTTATATGGTTCACTGATCAGCATTAGAAACATCTTGAGGATTTTACCTTTTACTACATACGTTTTTAGGCTAAAATCATCATACAACCATATATATATATATATATATATATATATATATATATATATATATATATATATATATATTGATGAATCGAATCATTACATCATCATATAAACAACCATTTTCAGTTGTAATGATTCGATTCACTTACTTTTAATTTTTACTTCTTCAATTGTTTATTCATTCTAATGGTTATCCTTGTTAATTTAACCTTAAATAAATGATCAATTAATTTACTTTATTTATTTATTTAAAAAAAACTAAGGCGCTAAATTAGAAAAGTGAGAATAATTATCTGATCAATTTCTAACTCATGCGTGTTAAAGTATCATTAATTAATAAAAAAAGTATAAATTGTCAAGTGGGTGAGAAAGTGAGCATAAAATGTGTCCAATATGAAAAGTTAGTAGAATACAATGAAAAGTGAATAATGGTTAAATAAAGAGTAACAACATGTAAACCTAAGTACATCTATATATATTCTTTCGGTGAAACGATTTGTATTAGTTACATTGTTTCTGTTTTTGTTTTATTTTTGCTTTATTGATTGTTCAGTTGATCTATTGTATATAACACTTTATCCATGTTATTCTAAACAAGATGTTTACCTACTACTCAATGTTGATTCGATTACTGTTGAATAAGCATAACGTCTTTACTGAACTGTTTATTCATGCAATTAATTGAGAAAAAGTTGATGAGGAATTCTGTTTTTATGAAGAATTAGTTTGAAATGTTACATAAATGTAACACAAATTTTGTCAACAGACGATTAATAATCTAATCAATGATAGATAGTGGATAGCAATGGAATCCAGGACGCAATTTTTGTCCTATTCGTACCTGTATCTCAGAGTTGATGTTCACTCAGGGACTCGAACTCAGAACTGTTGAGTTCTGATATCCACTTGCTTGTAAAATGGGGTGAAGTTTAAATTCACTTGGTATTATTTACTTGAATCTTCCCATTTCGTCCCAAATAGGATAAAACACGCGTCCTGAATTCCACTGCTAGCCACTATTCATCTTTGCCTATGATACCTGTGAATAAAGGCAATATCGAGGCAATACGCACAGTATGCACATATGCCAATAAGAGATTGATCAATTGCAATCCTAAACATCAATGGGAAGATTCAGGTAAACAATACTAGGTGGATTAATAATCTAGATTGTACCATTTATCAGTAATTCACTTGATTTGGTCTCCTATAGATTCAAACAACTTTTATATAATTAATGACTATTCTTAATGAGATTTACAATAGCGTATAAAATTTTAAAGATGATCAACATTGTAAATTACTTTTATTTGGAGAGCTTTTGAAAAAGATTTATTAAATTACATAGAAGTCATTCATTGTTAGTTCAAAAATTCTTACTATTTCACTCTCACCAATCTAGACAGGAATTATTAGTTCTTAATAAACGTTGTTCTTACACTAAGCAAGGAGTTAATAGATAATGAAAAAAACATGACCAAACCATCCAGCTCAGAGAACAAAACCCCATCAGAATCATCCACCTGAGCTACAAATCTTCACCACCGTCTTAAGATGAAATATGTCTTCTTTTTTTTCTTTGACAAAGGTATGATTATGCCACAGGTATTTGTATTTTGACAACACTTTAACCAGTAACATCTATAATTGTGTTTTGTCCATTCAGTGAAATCAAAAGTCAGAAAAGAGGAGGTTCGAAGATATATTTGATAGCTTATCAATATATCGAGAATTGACTGATCTAAACTTGCTAGTGATTTCAGGAGAAGTTGAGCACAGCGTTCCCACTCGTGATCTGGTGCGGATGCGTAACCAAGCCCCTTCATCTAGGTGAGTCCATTAAAACTAGTGTGGTCAGCATCCAATGTCGAAGACTTACAGAGCTATTGATTTCGGAGACTTATTTACCGTTACAGATACATTTCACCAAAGTTTTTTTAAATTTTATTTCTCCACATTTATACTACTGTTTTGTCAATTGAATGATGATCATCTAACTAATATCGAATAGATGAAAAAGTGCATTAGAAAACTTTAGTGTTGTCAGTGTTGCTATCAAGTGTAAAAGTAATGTTTTATGAAGCATTTATGTATTACTAATACACTTCTAAAATACTTTCAAGTATGTCATAGTATATAATATTCAAATGAATAAATGAATATAGTCCTTAAAGATTTAATTATGTATGGGTTGTTCAACAGTTTTAATCTTTACCATTGAATAGCAATAAATCAACTTTCTAAATAGCTATTAAAATAGGGAATTTATGGAAAACAGGGTAAATAGCGTAACTGTAAATATTATTAATCTGAAATAAAAGAGGCATTTGAAAAGTAATCAAGAAATCTAGGTAGGGATACCATTTGTAATAATAATATGGAGTAAAGTAGAACCCTTCTCATAAACAATGGAGTAAACTATGGTAAGAAAATAAAACGGACAAGTAAAAAAAGACTAAATCAAGGTCATGGTAAGGAGAAGGATCAAACAAAGTGCTTTTGACATACAACTATAGTTGTAAGTTATGGATGTCTAAGTTATCTGTAATTCAAAGTTGATATCCTTGATTGGACGTTGTAAGTAATGTTGAATGTTACATCCGAAACTGAATTCCTTGTGCCTATTTAATATTATAAGACAGATAACATAGTTAAATTTCATTTTTTCCTGAAAACCTACATTGGTGTATAATAGCTCATAATTAATAACGAGGTATGCCATACTCATACTATTGTCTATACTGAGAAGTTTATGAATAATATTATTATTTTGTATTATGTTCTACGTTCTCATTAATTGAATGATACCCAGAGTCAAATGGATTTTATACAGCGAAATATTGGTTGACGGGAAACTTTGTGGATTTGAAAATGATTTCATTTAGCCGTTGAAAGACTTCCATCAGTCGATATTTTCTTAATCTACGTGAAATAGCTACTCACATTATTTGTAAGTAGATTGATTTTTCTATTGAATATCATATTATTACGATATTATAAAATTAATGACACCTACTACTACTACTACTACTACTACTACTACTACTACTACTACTACTACTACTACTACTACTACTACTACTACTACTACTACTACTACTACTACTACTACTACTACTACTACTACTACTACTACTACTACTACTACTACTACTACTACTACTACTACTACTACTACTACTACTGCTACTAGCAATAATAATAATAATAATAATAATAATAATAATAATAAAGAATCTTAAGATTGAATATCTAAAATTGCATCAAACTTCCTTTTACTATCTATTTAAAATATTGATCTTCAAAATGAGTGCAACGACGTTTTTAACGGCTGTTTGATATTATTCACATTGACTCTTAAGCGTTTCTACTTAGCTTTACTCTTTAACCATCTCATAATATATATTTGATGTTTGAACTTTAATGCAATTACCTCTATAAAAACTGTTCCTAAAAGAGATCACACTAAGCAAATTCATGGTTCCATTGAAATTTGAAAGCAGTTATCTTAGTGTTAAACTGTAAACATTTTATAAAAACAACTGAATAGATGAGATGTTGGAAAGCATCATCGTTTGGTTAAAACCAATTAAAAACGGGGAAATTTTATTAAAGTATCTATAAGTTGGAGAGAGTTCCTGAAGGAAAGGGAAGATTACTTAATATTCTATCCTAATATTAAACTAAGGAAATGTATTAGAAAGGTTATTCATTTACATTGAAAACCACTTCAGTTATTGTGTTTTTAAAGTAATTTATGTAAAGGATTTATCAGATACGGTTGTGACTTTAAGTCCGGCTAATTATCACGTAACTTATTTGCCAATTGGAATATAACTGCAATCTTAGCGTTGTGCAGCCTAGCGTACTAATCGGTCCTTTATCCTCCTAGATCTCCCAGTTGAGTCTAGATTATCAATAGGAGCTACCACTATACGAATCATTTATTTCAAACATACCTGCTTTATATACAAGCCAAAGAGACCGCATCACACCATAAAATAGGAAATAACATTTGTACAGTCAAAATGTGGCCGTGTACATGGGAGACTGTATTTAATAAACTGAGTATAATTTATTAATAGTAAATCCTATCATAATAGCCTATTGGTCTAAATAAACTTTATAATAAAAGGAATATAGGTATACAAAATCTAGTTACTGAATACTTATACATTAATATTAGTCCATTAATAGTTCACAGAAGTTACCTATAATTTAATCTTCACTAGGATACAACAGATGCATCACTTATCAGAAATTTAAACAAACACCAAAAATGGAGACTCAAATAAAGCTAAAATCTCCAAGTTATCTGATAATTCATGGAGTTCGTTAAATCCCATTTTATGAATCGTTTCAAAATTATCATTTTTCTTTTAAAAAAACTACAGAGTATTGTGCAGTTATTCTGTTCTACTAAGAGACTTTAAGAGAGTGTGCACTCACAAAATATTTTGGTTGTTTAGTTAAAATTTATTACATGAACACATTTTAGTACAAATACTTGAACATTGATCCCAATTAACCTATTAGGCATGAAGTGACTAGTTCTTTCTGATTATGTAAATGGTCATATATCGCGTTGATTTTGTTTTTCCATTACAGAAATTTGGTTCATCATCATCATCATCATCATCATCATCATCATCATCATCATCATCATCATCATCATCATCATCATCATCATCATCATCATCATCATCATCATCATCATCATCATCATCATCATCATCATCATCATCATCATCATCATCATCATCATCATCATCATCATCATCATCATCATCATCATCATCATCATCATCATCATCATCATCATCATCATCATCATCATCATCATCATCATCATCATCATCATCATCATCATCATCATCATCATCATCATCATCATCATCATCATCATCATCATCATCATCATCATCATCATCATCATCATCATCATCATCATCATCATCATCATCATCATCATCATCATCATCATCATCATCATCATCATCATCATCATCATCATCATCATCATCATCATCATCATCATCATCATCATCATCATCATCATCATCATCATCATCATCATCATCATCATCATCATCATCATCATCATCATCATCATCATCATCATCATCATCATCATCATCATCATCATCATCATCATCATCATCATCATCATCATCATCATCATCATCATCATCATCATCATCATCATCATCATCATCATCATCATCATCATCATCATCATCATCATCATCATCATCATCATCATCATCATCATCATCATCATCATCATCATCATCATCATCATCATCATCATCATCATCATCATCATCATCATCATCATCATCATCATCATCATCATCATCATCATCATCATCATCATCATCATCATCATCATCATCATCATCATCATCATCATCATCATCATCATCATCATCATCATCATCATCATCATCATCATCATCATCATCATCATCATCATCATCATCATCATCATCATCATCATCATCATCATCATCATCATCATCATCATCATCATCATCATCATCATCATCATCATCATCATCATCATCATCATCATCATCATCATCATCATCATCATCATCATCATCATCATCATCATCATCATCATCATCATCATCATCATCATCATCATCATCATCATCATCATCATCATCATCATCATCATCATCATCATCATCATCATCATCATCATCATCATCATCATCATCATCATCATCATCATCATCATCATCATCATCATCATCATCATCATCATCATCATCATCATCATCATCATCATCATCATCATCATCATCATCATCATCATCATCATCATCATCATCATCATCATCATCATCATCATCATCATCATCATCATCATCATCATCATCATCATCATCATCATCATCATCATCATCATCATCATCATCATCATCATCATCATCATCATCATCATCATCATCATCATCATCATCATCATCATACATTTTAAATATTGCAAGTTAATTACTAAGTAGGATAACGCGTACAGTGTATATATTTTTCATTAGAATATGTATTTAGCAAGTAAGTAAACAAGTAATCCTCAGTATATTTAAACAACTTTCATGTAGAGTTGGCTGACATTTTACTGATATTTAAACCATTAGAAATAAATATGAAATGAGATAAAATGTTGAGATTAGGTTGAAAATTTCATGAATAATGACTAATTTTATAGTACCTCCTGTTTTAGCAAAACACAATGCATTAATAATGTCATGTTTTATGTAATAATAACAATCAACAAATGATTAACTGTGGTCAGTTTAGAATATGGACGGTATTTGCAATGGATTTTTTCAGTTAAAATAACTGAGAATAGTCAAATCAGATCAGAAATGTATACTCAATCTTTATAGTAAAATAAATAATTCAATAACACCAATCGGATATATTTCTAAAGAAGCTTATGTATTGTAATTTCCATATATTCCATTTATCTATTATAGAAAATATCAAAATACTTTATTAAAAAAGAAATTAATCTTAGATATTAATGGTAGAGTAATGAATATAAGATGAGAATTTGTTTGATTATAAATGATGAATATACCAGTAGATAAGATGAACTCAACGTATGTTAAAATAAGATAGGAATCCTTTGTATATAGATATCTGTTTTAAGTTGAAGTAATCAAAAGCATTTGTTTGACCATATTAATCTGTTTATTTCATTACTTTCTAATGTTTAACATGGGTGGGAATGACAGGTGCTGGTTTTAAGTAGAACATTTCACTAAATAATCTTTTGTGTAAATATGACATAAACAGATAAATGTTTGACATGAAATGATTCATTTCATTTTTCATAGTAAGACGTTCAAGATAAACTTAAAATAATTTATACTCAGAATTAGTTCTGGTCACTAAAATCGGGGCTTTATCTCAGGTCTGAGTCATATTTTAAAGCAGGATGTAGAATCGCAACTTTTTACCTAACTAAAAGAAAGTGAGGTATAAACAGAAGGGTTCACAGCATTTTCCTTATAAAAATAATTGATATTATGTTAAAATCAACGTTATAAATATTTCTTTGCAAATAACATCAAACAATTATAAGAAATTTGTTATAAAACTTTGAACTACTAACAAGTAACTGAAATAACATTACTAAAATATCTTTCGTATTTTAGTTTAGCTGACTCCAATAGAGATATGGATGGCTGAACTGGAATCCAGTGTTCTAAGGATAGTGAGATATGAATGTTGTATCATGTTTCTCATGTATAATCGTGGATAAGTAATTATCAGAAGTCCAAAATATGACATATCACTTCTCTAGTGCTGATTTTTAATAGTTGACCAGATGATATCAGTTTACTATAGAAAATCTATCAAATATAAATATACTGTTGAAACTTAATTTACAGATAACTTTATTTTATTTATTTTTTGTTTTAACACATAGATATTGGTACAAGGAGGCACCGAATACATATGCGTCACACAAATCAAATGAGATTTGTGTGAGGGCTGTGATACTGCCCGCGTGCCCAAACAGAAGCAGGTGATTTTCTTAGGGGGCCACACCTGGAGCCTCCGACCTAAAGGTCTGATCCACATGACAGTGGGGCATCGTAAGGAGATGCACTCCTATGGTAGCCGGTGACCAGCGACATTCGCCTTTCGTTCTCTTGATTTTGTAAACAACACCCTCACCACGAGAATGTAGTGAGTAGGACTTCCCTGGCAGAGGCTAAATGCGCGTGTCCATGTGAGAGCATTTCGAGAGGGCGAGCGGATTCTCCCCACTCTCGGCCGTACCAGGGCATTTGGGGTCTACAGACAACTTTAGTGATCCCTTAATCCTATTAGCAAGAGCATATGTCTCTAGATTTGGCAATTCAAATGTACTTGTTATTTGGATCAATAACAAAGTTTTCAGTGGATATTTTATCATCACATTCCTTAGTCTGTAACTAGTATAGGTTTTGTAAATAGAATCATCTCAGTATTTGCAATTTGTATTTCGCACTCTCATTAAGGATAAAAAAGTCTCCTGGTAAAATTACTTAAAATTATTGTTAATGAATCCTACACTCAGGCAAAACAGCTATCTAGTGTATGATGGTTTTCAATAGCTGTTTCACTGATGTCAGTCTGTAATGAGAAAACGTAAAATAATAAAGTGTTTAAACTACTGTAATTTGGATAATTTAATTTAGTTAAGCTAGTTAAGCATGAAATTCTTAATCGTTATGATCGAGTTAGGAAAGCACATTCAGGTGTAGTTACGAAATCACTGGTCAACTAATAGGCATTACTTACAGAGAAATTCAACAATGCAAGTACATACATAACCTACATATTTTAGTCTAATTAATAAGATAGTTTAAAAACTTCTGTTAAATGTCATCATTATTCCTAATCGTTATTTAAACCAAGACAATTTATCCATGGTTAAAAATAGTTGCATTTTAACAATTAAATAGATTGTATGATAACAATATTTCAGTAATTAGGTTGATATTAAATCCTTATCAAGTAGCAAGTTCATTTATTTTTCTTAAACGTTCTATACAAACTAATGTAATAAGGTAAAAATTACTTTGGAGTCTGTATCGTAATAAATGATTACCACTTGTAGATATATTATTATTATTATTATTATTATTATTATTATTATTATTATTATTATTATTATTATTATTATTATTATTATTATAGGAAATAAATCCTATTCAGTTGATTATATTTTCTAAAAGGCCAAAATTAAATTATAGTGTATATGGTTATTGACTAAATACACGTTTTTCGATAATGCAATAAGAAGACGAAGATTAACAGAATTATGTTATATGTTAGTGCAATACATTTCGAACAATCTGATCACACATATACTTGTTAAGAGCATTTATAGATAAAAAATAAAAGGTCCACTACACTGGAAATGGGGTAAGAGGATAATAATGAGAGTAATAATAATGTGAACACAACTCGATACCTAATCACTCTGGATAATAAGTCAATATTATCAGGGTAGGTTTAAGGTAAGAACAAACTGTTTTTGAACACACAAAGGGGGTTTGAATTTTCGTATGGCTAAGGCTTCAATAAACCTTAGTATACGCCCTTTTACACTTTTATACAAAACCACAAAAGCCGAGTTTAGATCAATCTTATGGCCTGTTTCAATTCTATGTTTAGCAATAGACAATGATAGATGTTTATCCTCTACTCTTATTGGGTCACTTGATTGTATTTGCTTCTGCGCTAATATATCACATAATTCTGATTATCTCCGTCTTCTTATTACATTATCGAAATTTATCAAAGGTGCCCAAATATTGTGAAACTATTCGTTCAAATTTAGACGAAAGTTCTTATTTAAAGGGACTAATTGCTTTAAATACACATTTTTTTAAAAATCGATTTTCATTTTAAGTAAATCTTATTGTTATTACAATGTTGTCACTAATTTAATTCACTTGAGTATAACTAGCAAATAGCATTCTTTTATTAGATATTCTTCTTTAAAAGTTAATCCACTTTAATTTAATTGAAGAAATCAAATAATTTGATTGATCTAATTTCTTCTCTTTTATTCCCCTTATTTCTATGGTGAACCGAAAAGAAAAAAAATTAAAGGAAATTCCATTTCTTTCTTTAGTATTTTAATACACTTAAATGGATCAAAAGAAGGCAATCATGACAAATGAGTATGGATTCATCTTTAACTATCTATAATATAAATCAATTGCAATCAATATTTGAAAGAATTTGCAATTCCATTTGATATTAACAAGAAATCATAGATAAAGAGGGAGAATAGAAAGATCAGTTGATTGTGATCAACTTGGAAATGGAAGAATATTCTTTTTAAAATGCTCATAAGATTGATGCATATTGTAGATCGTGAAGGAATAAAGTTGATAAACGCTTAGATGTGGACTTTTCATAATGGTATAAGACTTATTAAAAGATGAAAGTAAGGAATATTCAAATGAGAAATAAGTAATTCTGAATTAGATCCTAAGAAATTTAAGTGTGAAACAACTAATATACATCCCAATATTTGAATACGGAAATTATCGGAATAATATAAGATTGATTAGTGTTGATTAGGAAACACATCAGTTGGTTCACACTTTTTGATGAATATTATTTCATTAAAACAGTATAGTCTGAAGTTCATCTGTTTTCTGATTATTTTGAATGATTTTTAAATAATGATGTAATATTAACTAATAACTATCAACTAAAAACCAGCTTCCAGTTAAAGAGGAAAATAAGAAAAGATGTTGGAGGTGGATAGGACATACATTACGGTAATCATCAAACTGCATCACGAGACAAGTCCTAACTTGGAATCCTGAAGGGAAACAGAAAAGAGGAAGATCAAAGAACATATTGTGTCGGGAATTGAAAGGAAACATGGAGAGAATGAGTAGTAATTTTAAACAACTGGAAAAGATTGTTTAGGACAGAGTTGATTGGGGAATCCTGATGTGCAGCGTTAACTCCTCCATAAGGAGTAGCAAGCATAACGGTGAGACTCTAATTTAGGGACGACCTTTGAACGAATCTTAAATGACCTTGACAATTATTAGCCAATCAGAAGACAGTTATTATAAAGTGAAAATATATTATAAGAAAGTAATGAATTACAGTGGATATCTTCTTTTACATGATTTAAAAGCTTGTTATGGTTTGATAAAGGTTCAGAGGTTCTGAATTCATAATGCATATGGTATAGAAACTCGTCCATAGGGTTAGGGTCAGGGTTGTAGCCTCCCAGTAAACACCTCTTCTCTAAAATCCGTTGTAAACCGATCGTATATTGGCACCCTAACCCTAACCCCAAACCCTAACCCTAACCTTAACCCTAACCCTAACCCTAACCCTAAACCCTGACCCTATGGACGAGTTTATATATCATATGCATTATGAATTCAGAACCTCTGAACCTTTAACAAACCTTAACAAGTTTTTAAATCATGTAAAAGAAGAATATCCACTGTAAT